AGTTATTGTAAGTCTTAAGTTTCTTTCATCTTAGTTGTGTTTGCTATGTATAATCATGGTTAAGATGAAAGTGTGAATCTAGTGCACATCCTGGGAACTAGATTTACATGAGTATGAGTTAGGAATACTTGAGAGGTTGTAGATCTTTAGCCATTTTTGTCTAGTCTGCTAAATGTGTAACACATCTGGTCGCCGCCTTTGAGTGGTTTGACGGGCACATATCAGGCTGAAGTTGACTGGCAGGCTAACGGCTCAGCAATGTCTCCAATATTTCTCTCTCGAGGCGTCGGATGTTTCATTATGCTTGTTTGATGACTTGAATTATTCACTTCATCTCTCAAATATAATGGAAGGTCCGGAGAGCCTACGACAATCACATAGGTATTGTTTCACCTTGTGCATGTTGAAAATTATACTCTGGCACTGGCCTTCCCGTAACACCTCGTATTTTCATATATTTTGCTGAAAAATTGCATTCCCTAGACAAGTTTGTTCTTTTGCAAAGTTGCAGTGTTTTCCAGATTTTCCTCTGTGCTCAAGTCTGGTAGCTTCTGTAGGTCTGTTCTTTCCCGTGCAGTTGTTTTGTTATGTTGATTCATGCCACTAAAAACATGAAAAGTTACTGCTGCGATAGTTTAAGAATCTAAATGATTTGTACTTATAATCGTTGTCCTATTGCGGGTGTGCTGCCACAAGCAAAGATGCTGTCTGGACTGAAGGGAGTTTCTACTAACGGTTCCTTTTCTGTGCGTCTGTGAATGAGCAGGACAAGTGGACTCTCTTATTGAAAACCTGGAAAAACTTTTGCCAGATGCAATTTTTTGTGTGGTTGGATCTCACGAACTGCATCATTTGTATCTTCTGGGTTGAAGCCTTAGAAGACTAAACTATCCATTCAAGTTGCAAAGGGAATGAAAGAGTTAGAGAATCTACAATTAGTAATGCAAGATATCCTGAGGCGTAATGTTCCAGGTATATATATGCCAGAAGTTATCACTTTATCTACATAAGACGTGAACACGTTTTTTTTGTTAACTACATGATCTGTCTGATTTGAAAATTGAAATGTGAGCAGCACCAGCAGCATTGGATCCCACTAAACGCTTGCATCAGAAGTTGAAACATGACAAATACAAAGTCCACATAGCATGTTGAGGTCATTACTTAAATTAGAATTCGTAGCAACATGAGTATGGTGATGTTTAGATTAGGGGTGTAAAGTTTTGGCGTGTCACATCGGTGATTATATAGGGTGTCGCATGGGGTGTTCGGGCACTAATAAAAAAACTAATTACATATTCCGCCAGAAAACTGCGAGACGAATTTATTAAGCCTAATTAATCTGTCATTAGCAAATGTTTATTGTAGCACCACATTGTCAAATCATGTAGCAATTAGGCTTAAAAGATTCGTCTCGCAAATGAGTCGCAATATGTGCAATTAGTTTCTTTTTAGCCCATATTTAATACTTCATACAGGTGTTCAAACGTTCGATGTAATTAGATGAAAAATTTTGGGGAGGGATCTAAACATGGCATATGTGAAAGACACATATGTTTGGATAATGGGTGTGTTGGTTTCACCATCCACCTACTGTCGCAGCTGTTATGCTTATGCCTGCAGGATATTAATGTCAAGAATCTTTTCTTTACGTTCTGTAGGGATTCTTTTTACAGTATCAGCATTGTATCTGGAGTATTGATATCTGGCATTTGGCAACGACTGGGTTCAGTAGTCAATGGGACGAATCTTTGATGAGATCAAAGTATCAGTACATCTGCCATTGTTGCCGTGAGCGGCGCTCTGAGAATCGCATTGAAAGAGACCAATGAACTGTTCAAGGTGGAAAGGAGTGATCAGAATATGGGTCTCATCAAGCAGGATCGGCTCACTCTCTCATCATCCTCTCCTCAGTAGCCTGGAGGCAATCTTGGGGGATCTTTACCTGAGGAAAGGCTTAATAAATGCTCCACCTGCTCACATTTCCTTGCTTTTCACCTACTCGTTCAATGTTTCAGTGATGAGGGAATCCTGAAATCTCCAGGGCGCACTTGGTGTGGGTCATGTCTCCAGAGCTGGAGAAAATCATTACTTACTCCTAACTACATTGCGTATGCATCTTTTCACATCGCTGATGCCCATTTGCGAGGTATGCATTGCCCATCCGCTCTCTCATGTTACTTCCTATTGGTTATTTCGCGGGCATTTTCAATACTGTGGTGACCATTAAACCATACTACTAGTTCTCAGCAAGTTTAATAGTATAGTAAACTATTGGCTTCAAATCATCTATAGCCAATTTAATAGCTAATCTATACAATATCTATAAATATATACTACATTATTAATATCTGGTCCTACATGTCATATACACATTACGTCTTAAAGTCCGTGCTGTAACTGGCTGTAAATATGTAGCCTGCTGCTCACCTATCTCTTTTTTTATCTTCTCGATATATATTTATAGCTGGTTTATAGTTTACTATTGTACTTGCTCTTATGCTCAGACATCTTGATTTGGTGGTGCTACAGTGTCATGAGACACTGTCTCAATAGGAGAAATCATTAATTAGTTGTAGCCCCGTTTATTGTGTTGGTCATAGATGTGTCTCCGACAGCAATGCATACTCACACTTCCCAGGGGCCCTGGAATTATGTGGAAGTGTTTTGTCCCTCTAGTGGGCAAAGCCACAAAGTAATGTTTAGTGGAAAGGTACACCTATAAATGTGCATTGCAAGTTATTACCACTTGGTATTGTATTGGTAGTGAAAGTTTCATTTGCCAAAAGTAAGCCACACATGCCCTAACCACGCACGCCAGCTGACAGCATGGGGCCCTTAACTTGCTTAGTAGGAGCACTGGCAATACTACACTACAGAGTAGTATAAAGAGGTAAGAAAGGGAGAGATTAGCCAAAGGAGAAAAGGATAGGCCTGTTACATTTCGAGGTAGATCTATGTTGGGTTAAAAGATAGAGCTAGCACAGTTGCCCCTGGTGAGAAGTAATCATGGAAAGGGGAAAGGAGATCAAAGTGAGAGGAAGTTTCGTGCTTTGATATCTGTTTCTCACTTTGCCCAAAGGATGCAAGTGGTGAAAAGGAGCGCAGGAGGTTCCGATTTCGATCGGAAAACTGCTTTTGTGGAGTACATGCAAAGCATTTCAAGCCTGTGACCAAGACCAACTGAGCAAGTTATTCTGTAGTGTGAGATTCAACAACACAAGGGAAACCACCCCATCGGGTGCTAAATCATCCATGGATAAAATGTGTCCAATCTGATTCACCACCTCATTAGGGGCTAAACCATTTCACAACCATTTGATACAGCCTCTTTTACATGTATTAGGGCACCCACAATGGTTATCTATAGGCTCTCTACAAGAGATCTATGTCAGCATATTTTTCTACTTGGAATGTATTAAATGAAGAGAGAGAGCAAAGCTATCTACTAACTTAGAGATAGTCTATAGAGAAAAACGAGGCAATGCATGAGAGAGCTATAGATACCAATGTAGACATACTATTAAGGTGGTTTACTATTAATCGAGTCTATTGCTGAGATGTACATGTTTTATAGATAGCACCTTACTTTACCATTGCGAGTGCTCTTAGCAGCCCAATGCTTCCACTTGTCAGTGGTAATGCAGACCAAAATACCCCCATCCCCCTGCATCTGAGCTGCTCCTCTGATCCAAACCTCTGAATCCCAGCATGCTGCATGCATGCTCAAAGTTGGGACCTCACGGCCTCATCTGCTGCAGAGCTGGCTCTCCGCGCTGCAAATCTTTACTAGTATACTAGAAGATAGAAAGCAACAACTACTTAATTCCAAGAGCCCATGCACCACTAGACAGGGCAGCGTGCGTGTAGAACCATGGCTTCTCCATATGTTAGCAGAGTCAGGTCAGAAGAAGGCAAATAAAAATTGGGGGAAACAGGGGATGCGATCTTTGATATTCTGTCTCATTCCCCACTCTCACCAAATCGAATTCCTTGCTTCCTTGTGCTCTGCAAGTAGTAGCCTGACTCCCTTGTTAAAGTAACCACGCTAGTCTTCATAAAGAGATCTCAGCTGGGTATAAGCACTGATCGCGATTAAAGAAATACACACGTTGTGTATGGTATGGGCATTTTGAAAGGGGATGGGGATTGTGTGTGGTCGTGAATGTATTATTAGTGCATATATTGCACAAGGAGTAAAAATGACTGAAAAATTGTTTCTTTCCTTAATATATTTCCATTGTTTTAACTTATCAATTATGTTATTATAAACCTTACTTGCATACATAATGCTGAAATGCAACTAGTGTCAGTTAAACATCTAATTTTGAAAAGAGTAGTGTTATGCATGCTTAAAAAACTCTTTGCAAACTTCTTGCCAACAAAGATCTCAACTGTTTGATTTAATTAGTTGAAGTTATAAAAATCAAGATTCGATCACAGTGTGACACATCAATGTAGAATGACTTGTACTTATCTCAAAATGATAAGTAATGTACAATAGATGAGATGGCGTATAAGATAGCATATGCTGGTTTATAAATTTGTGTTTGCATTTTTCTTTTGCCTAATTTCTCTAAATGCTACTACCTCCGCTCGAGGTTATAAGACTTTCTAGCATTGCCCATATTCATATATACGTCTAGATTCATTAACATCTATATGATTGTGGGTAATGCTAGAAAGTCTTATAATATGAAACGGAGGAAGTATATTTTATATACTCTAGGATCCTTTCCTACAGCTTCAATTAAAAAAAAAAGCAAGCAGAAGGCAAATTCAATAAAAGTTTCACATAAGCACATGCAGATGCAGTTACCTATACATAAGGGAAATACATACTCTAGCCACTGAAATTGTGTCTTGAAGTATCGCAAAACAGTATGCAACTCGCAAGATGTAGAAGATGCAATTTGCATACCTAAATGCCAAAAAGCCCAGGTCCACTTGTACTTCTTGGTGCACCGTGCGTACACTCCTTTGAAACCCCATTGCTATGTAGACAATCTCGTTGGGTATTGGCCACTTGGCCTCGTCTATGCACACCCACTAAACTATACAACTTTCAGATCCAAACTCCCGACCAATGCAACGTTGGAGGAGTGCACAGTCATGGAACAACTTGATCATCATCAATGGTAAATCTGATGACATCTAAACTTGCAACCATTTACTAATTTGTTTGCTTGATTGTCCTGGCGAAATTGCTCTATTCTCTGTCTAATAAGAGTAGGTGAAATATTCACGCGTCTCCATAAACCTTGTGTCTATCAAAAAAGCTTGGACGTCCCTTTCTAGACAGCAATATTTTTGATACTCTATCCATACCCTGTTTTCCACGGAGGAGCATAAATCCTGATCATTTCTGTTGCAACCAAAAACTGATCACTGGCTACTTACCTGCAGAGCTGAAGACTGAAGAGCGCATCTGATGTGCATGCAACAACGCTGGTCTTTTGGGAGCTCAGACTTGAAGGGCTCACCGTCTCCATCCTCACTCCTCCTCACTGGCCTCTAATGCTTTCCTCTTTTATCATTAGTAGTTACTGCGACATTAAGACCAAACCAAGTCTTGCAAGAAACCGAGCAAATAAAGCAACAAAAATACCAGGGGGGGACACCGGCACACACCCACACTCGACGAACACTATACTAGAGGGAAGAGTGAGAGGAGGAGAGTGGTGGTGGTGCGAGAGGGAGGGAGATGGGCATTCCCAGAGCTCTCCTGCTGCTGCTGCTCCACGTCGCCGTCGTCGTCGTTCTCCGGTCGCTGCCGGTGTCCTCCGCCGACCTGTACGCGCTCGTCTACAAGGGCTGCTCCAACCAGAGCTTCCCCGGCGGCGCGGTGCCCCCCACAGTCGCCGCGCTCTCCTCCTCGCTCTCGGACCAGTCCGCCTCCGCCAAGTTCTACAAGACCTCGTCGTCATCCTCGGCTTCCTCCACCTCCGTCTTCGGCCTCTTCCAGTGCCGCGGGGACCTCTCCGGCTCCGACTGCGCCGCCTGCGTCTCCCGCGCCATGTCATCCTGGTCCGAGGTTTGCGGCGCCTCCGTCGCCGCCCGTGTCCAGCTCACCGGCTGCCTCGCGCTCTACGAGATATCCGGGTTCCCCCAGGTGTCCGGGACCCAGATGCTGTTCAAGACCTGCGGCACCGGCGGCGGCGGCGGGACCGACTTCGAGATGCGCCGCGACACCGCCTTCGCGCAGATGGAGGCCAGCGTCGGCGGGGGAAACGGCGGGTTCTACGCCACCAGCTACCAGCAGGTGTACGCCATGGCGCAGTGCGAGGGCGACCTCTCCTCGGGGGACTGCGGCCAGTGCGTCACCCAGGCCGTCCAGCACGTCGAGGTCGAGTGCGGGGGCGCGCCATCAGGCCAGGTGTACCTCGAGAAGTGCTACATTAGCTACAGCTACTATCCCCATGGCATACCCCATGGCGGCGGCATCGGAGGTCAGTTTCTTTGCTCGCCTAGTTTACTCGACGAATCTGTGCCCGTGCCTGCAATCTGATGCTTAGTTGCTTACATCAATGATTCAATTGCTTGTTGATCGGATCGGTAGTGATGACTAATCTAATTATTCCCCACAAAATAAAGATGACTGATCTAATTTAGTCACGGATATATTGTTCAGGTTTAGGAATTTGGGCAAACTTATTCCTTTCTGTATATCAAGTAGTGAACTTTTTAAAGATTTGCCTGGCTGGCTAGCTTATGCATGTGAAACATTCGATGGTGGATTTGTCTGTATGTATGCGTTGGTGAGATCTTGCTAGGGTTCTTTGTTTAGTTGTCCTTAGAATTGATTGATAGGGATGGTGGGGATGCCTTTTGGTTGTTTGTTTGGTTGATTCTGATTGTTTTGGCAAAATTGTGCACATTAGTGCCCTCTCAGGTGCTGATTGTCTAGTTAGATTATAAGCTTTACATGGTCCAGCACTGGTAGTGGAAGGTTTGATTTATGTGGAGTATCTTGCCCTTGTTAAAGTAGAACTCTGGTGGAGATAGTGGCATGATCTTGTTCCTTTGTTTGGTTAGTTTCTGAATTGGCAGACAAAGATAATCAGCTGTTTCCGTTGTGACTTGTGAGGTTCTCCTGTACTGGTTAGCTCAATTTAGGGGTGCGCATTACTGAAACCTCTCTTTATTACTTGTCTGAAAAAAACTCTCTTTATTGTTTAGTTTCATGCATTTTGCTTGGGAACTATATGCCACTATGGCAGCAGATTAGTGCAACTTCTGTTCTTCCTAGTTGTTTATGCCATCTGTCTAGTTGTATATTCAGGCTTTCAGAAAAGTTGGTGTCCACTGCCTTTTCCCTTTCTTTCTGGATTTACTGGAGATATGCATCTATGATTGCCCCCATGATTAGACGTGGCATCCCTAGTTTGATCAATCGATTTGCCTCTTCTCCTTGTGTTTATCAGGGCAGCAGACAGCAAAGACTGTAGCCATTGTTCTCGGTGGAGCTGTAGGTCTGGGTTTTGTGGTCATATGCTTGCTTTTCGCCAGGAGCCTGGTCAAGAAGAAGGAGGGTGAGTTAGTGGAATCACATGCCACTCGCAGCACCATCTCTTCAATCGGCTATTCAATTTGCAGCTACCATTGCTTCCTGTTCTGGGTATCTGCCCTCTGTTCTTCTTACGAAAATCTGTGTGCGTTTGGCCCTCTCCTTTGCTTGCAGATTATTGATGGGCACGCATGGAGCAACTGGACAAAAGGCATTGGGGCATGGTATGCATTTTGATTGGGGTCTCGATGTTTGTTTCTTCAAGGTGGTGAGTGGAATACAGAGGGGATTGTTTTTTTTTGGCTCTTCTTCCTCTGGCCATGTGGGGGTGCGCCATGCCATCCCGCGTGATGAGAGAGGGGAAAAGGAGGTAGTGCCAAGTAGTTCAGAAAGGGGACTCATTTTGGGGGAATGCTATTTTGGTTCACTGATTAAATTGGAGGTAGATTATCTATTTGGGCTGTACCACCTTCGCCTCTCTTGCTTAGGTTCTAGCAGTACATCGATTTTTCTTGTATTCTTTCCCCAAAAGAAATACATTTAGGTGTAGGCAGAAAGTATTTAGTCCTATGTTTAAGGTTTGCCGCGGCAGCTGCGGCAGGTCTAAGGTCTCTCTGACTGATTGGTTTTGCTTCGCTCTCATGAAATTGTTTCATAGTATGCTCTAGAACCTGGTTTAACTCTAGATTTTGGGAACTGGCTGTCACTAGTTTACTCTTATCTGTTAACTCCAGTGTAGCTTTGCTGACCTCAAAGCAGCACAGCTGTGCCGCAGTAGTTAGATGTTGTCTTATTTGTCATACATAGTACTTATCTTCAGAAATTGTGCCTGATCTGGCTTGTAATCAAGGACGGGTCAAATAGTTTGACATCATCATGCCCTGCTGTCTGCTAGAACATGTGATGATATCAGATGAAACCGATATACTCCTACGGATAAGAGTTGACAGAGTCAGCAATGCATGCTGCATAGTCAGATTTGTGGATTTTTGCTGTGATAAAAATATATGACAGGACAGAGTAGTTCTGCACTTGTTGACCACTTGACTGGCTGATGCTATTGGCCTCTGTTATATTTTCAGTCTCTTCAGAATATTTTTCTTGCTTAATCTGCTCAATAGGAAAGTACTTTTCTTCAGCATGTATGACTTAACACATTAGGCCGATTATGGCCGGCCCATACACTTTTTTTCATTGGTGGGCCTCTGGGTCACAGCTGATTTAAGCTGGGCCGTAGATGGGCTTACTCTATGAAAGAGCTTTGAGGCAGAGCATTTAATAAGCTTGCCGTGGACCCGTGGTACGTACGTACAAAGTGAGCTAACGGGGCCATCATGCATGAATGCAATCACCTTAGCACTGTGCTAAGATATGGGCGTCGCCCCATATATAGCAAGTTGAATGTCCTAATCTTAAGCCATGACACAATCATATGACACACCCCCCAAGTTATTAATTCGTATCCTTGAGGGATTCCATTACAAATCTGACGCAACCAATGTGCAAATTTAGGCCTCTATCGCGTACCGCACACGGTACAGATGAAGCACCACGCTCGACACCAACATAAATTAAAACTCTGTACTGTACATCATGTAATAGCATATTGATCACACTTAATAAGCATGTATCCTCTCAGTTCTCAGGTGTTCATCACTGGCTCTCTTCTCTTGACCCTTACCAAGAGCCCATTCTTCATGTGGAGTATGACGGACAGCCTCGGCTCCACGACGTGCCCCGGCACCACCTCCACGGCAAAGTTCCACGCCATGGCCGCCGCCGTGACCTTCATCTGCACGAGCGCCATCTCCTTGCCGAGGCATGTCCTCGGCCCGGAGTTGAACGCGACGAACTTGTTCGACGGCACGTACCGCAGCTTGCCGTCCTCGGTGATCCACCGCTCCGGCCTGAACTCCCTGCAGTCCTTGCCCCACACCCGCTTCATCCTCCCCATGGAGTAGTAGAACACCAGCACCTTGTCGCCGGCCATCACCTCGTGCCCGCTGGGGAGCACGTCGTCGGCGACCGCCGCCTTGTGCTCCAAAGGCACCGGCGGGTACAGCCTCATGGCCTCGCAAAGGGCCGCGTGCAGGTACAGGAGGTTCCTCACCTCGCTCGCGTCGAACGTCACCATGCCGCCGTTGCCGGGGAAGAGCCGCCCCTGCTGCAGCTGCGGCTTGCGGGAAGCGATGGGCGCCAGCTCCTGCAGGAGCTTCTGCTCGACGCGCGGGTTCGTGGAGAGGAGGTAGAAGAACCACGACAGCGCCGAGCTCGTGGTGTCGCGGCCGGCGACGAGGAGGTTCATCGCCATGTCCCTGATGTACACGTCGGCGTCGGCGCTGCCGGCGATCTCGTCGTCGCAGAGGAAGGAGGAAAGCAAGTCGGCGACCGATTGCTTGTCGCCGCCTCCGCCGCCGCCTTGTCTGGACTTGCTCTCGTCATCGGCTCTGTGTTTCGCGATGGCCGACGCGACGAAGCTCTCGACCGTCCGCCTCGCCGCGGCGTTCCTCTTCTCGTGCCCAATCCCTAGCCATCTCATCGTCTTCCAGAACGACACTGGCATGGTGTGGCGGAGGAAGATCGTCCGCAGCACGTCGTCCATCGCCCGTGCGAAGGGGACCTCCGGCAGGCCGATGTCCAGGCAGCCGGGGTCGACGCCGAACACCAGGTGGCACGTCGCGTCGAGCGACCACCGCGTGAACACGTCCTGCAGGTCGCACGTCTTCCGGGCGTCGGCGACGTGCGCGAGGAAAGGCAGGAGGCCCTTCTCCACCTTGTCGAGGCTGGAGCGCGCCACGAAGGCGCGGAACCGCGGCGTGGTCATGAGCATCTGGGCCTTGTTCCGCTGCCGCCGCCACCGCTCGCCGTCGGTGTTGAAGATGCCGCCGCCGAGGACGTCGAACATGTCGGCGAACACGTCGCCCTTGGGGTAGTTGTCGAAGTTGGACGTGAAGATGTGGCGCACGTTGTCCGGGTCGCAGGTGACGAAGAACCGGAAGCCGGCGAGCCAGAAGCGGCACTGGAAGTTGAGCTGCGACGTGGCCAGCAGGAAGGTCACGCCGTCGAGGAGGCGGTGCATGTTGGCGACGATGGCCGGGAGCACGCCGACGATCGGCCACTGGACAACCCCTAGGCTACATTTTTTCATGGATTTAAGCCGCTGATATCGGTAGCAGATGACGAGCACGCATACTCCTGACAGGAGAAGCTGCAAGACGAAGAACAAGTCGAACAAATTCATGTTACCAATTGCTGCCATGCATGCACACGCGCGCGAATGCAGCACGTAGCTATCTATAGCGCAGTGGAGTGCAACAGTTTTGTGTGTGGAGCTATCTCATGGGGATGCGGCGGTGCTTATATACGCGCGGCCAAGGTCGATCGATGGCACAATCAATCAATGCTAGCTATCGCTGCCAACAGTTAACAGAACGGTTTGATTGATTGGTTGTGTCCATGATGATCCGAAGATGCTCATTTGCATGTATCTCTATTATCTCTCTATAGTGATATCCTGGATGGCACCATTAGCAAATTATGTCATCAACAGTGGTAGGTAGCATGCGTGCATGGGTTCGGCCGGTGTAATTAATTATGCTCTAATCCCTACACATGCGATACGTGATGGCTTGGCATAGATGCATATATGCTTGCAATGCAACGGAAGGTGTGTACATGCATCTCATAGAGGTCCTAGAGGGTGCGTGCAATGCGGAGGGAGCGACGAGAATAATGCAGGTCGCTGTAAGACATCGGCAATTTATTTGTAAGCATGGGCTGTGTATGATTAATCGCCCGTACCAATAGCCCGCTCCTGCAAATCAGAGGACCATACTTTTCTGACTGCTCACCGACTGCCTGACTAGCTAATTCACACGATATGTTGGCTCCAGCCGGCAGCGGCACGGTCGTTGGAGCCACCACCAGCACCACGCATCGTGAGTTCGTGAATTGATCGTGACCAACAGGAATGGGCGAATGGCCACTATCAAAGCTCTCATGTGCAACTGCATATGTGGTCAGTTGCAGCTGATGCGTACGCAGGTGCATTTCTGCGTTTTTTGCTTCCTTGGTAGAAGCCACTAATGTTGATTGTGCCGTCTCCTGTTCCAAATCTAATAAAAAACCGATAGGAGACTAAGAGAGGAAAATATGAGCTCGGCATGAATCAACACGCTAAAACGACACATCCTTAATTACCACTGTGCACGACGATATCTCTATTTCGAAACTGATAATATGAGGCATGGTTCTTTGTCAGATGTCCGATGCACGGAAATATATCGTCGTCGGTCAACTCAAGACTTCCGACCAATGACTGACTTCGCTACTGCAACGTTGATGGCCCACCGCCCCTTCTTTTTTAAAAATGAGATGCTCTTTCAAATACTCTACTATTATATTTTCCATTCAATTATAGATTGTTATATTTTAGGACGAATGTAGTAGCTTTTATTCTACATTATAAGAAGTTATGATTATATAATTCAAAAATAATGTACTCCCTCCGTTTCAGGTTTTAAGACGTTTTGACTTTGATCAAAGCCAAACTGCTTTAAGTTTGATCAAGTTTGTAGAAAAAAGTAGTAACATTTCAACCCAAGACAAATTTATTATAAAAATATATTCAATTATTGATTTGATGAAACTAATTTAGTATTATAAATATTATTATATATGTCTCTAAACTTAGTCAAACTTGAAAAAGTTTGACTTCGACTAAAGTTAAAACATCTTATAACCTGAAGTGGATGGAGTAAAAGTTAAAAGCTATAAGAAATCCATCTTATTTAGATCCTCATAAGGTAGATCAATAAGCTATCTCTTAAAATCTTAAGTTTTTCTGAACATATCCTTAGCCTCTCCTTTCTTCAAGCACCGCGGCCCGTTGTAGTACACATGTGACGCTCTTTGTATCGGTGGTATGAGCAACAAAAAGCAGCCCGGAGTGAGAAAATTGGTCAGTTTACATGCAAATATATCGGGTGTAGTCGCAAAAAATGTATAAATGTTTAACTATTTTCCGCTCTTACAAATGATACAAATGATAATTAAGAATTTATCATTCAGCCTATATGTCATAGACTACAAGTGACAAATAGTTAAACATCATATTTTAAAAGTGATAAATATTTAAATATCTGAGAAATGCACCCTACCGTAGAGGTCAACCTCGTCACCGGCAATGTCCACCTTGCTCAGCGGCACCTCCCGGACTCCGGAGCCAGCTCTCCCATTTCACTGACCCACGTGCATTCTATATATGGAGGTTAGATGTGGTGAGTGGTGACCGGGAGGAGTAGAGAAGTCTCATCTGAACTACCATTTTTTTTTCTTTTTGATGTTTTAGTGGTTAAAACTATGTTTTTATGTGTGAACTGAAATATTTGATTGTTTTATGTATTTTTTTATATATTTCAGTCCACTTCCCAAATTAAGATGTTACATATGTTATATTGTTTCGTTGTGCACTAGTTTCTTATATACTATGTTTGTTCCAAATATAAGTATTTCCATGCGTTTTTTAAAATGACTATATTTTAGAATGGCGGGAGGCTTTTGTTTTCAAAGTTCAAATGACTAAACTTTATGTATCACAGCTTATCGCTTGATGTTTCATTGATGGTCAACTAAATCATTCAACCGTCTGAGTTTTAGTATCAAATCGGGCAGCCAATTATTAGTCCTGTCCAAAAATTAACGAGAGTGTTATAAAACGGAATCTCGTTCCTACCATCCGAACGGGATCCCTTTGTCTGCCATGCCGACTCGAGTTGCTCTCACCTTCCTATCCTTAATCATTTTCGTCCAGCACTGAAACTTCCTTGCGGAGATGCCGCTCGTGAAGTTCAAGGTGTGGAATTAGATGGGGATCGAGGAACCCGATCTGCATGGTGGCAATGTTAGTTAGCGAAGGTGAAGTTGAAAGAGTTGGAGAGTGAGGAGGTGGAATCCAAGGCATTGCTGGAGGGTATGTGTCACTGTCGTCGCCTTCGTTGGGATTCTACGTTAGCTTGAAGATATCATGGAGTAAGCACCCTGCACCCCTTAATGCATCCTCTCTTATTTGTCTCTCTCGTAGATCTCATTGGAATCAGACAGATATAGATCTAATCTTGTCGGGTATCGCTTGGTAATGGTGTGTGTAATATTTGGTACCGACGAATATCAGCCGATACCAACCTGATGCCATGCCACCTTCACCTATATTTTCATCCACAAAGCCCATGACCCTGCCATCATCGCTTGATAGTACGTTGGTATCACTTCATATCACTCAACTACTCAAGTATCAAAGTCGAGTGAGTTTGATACTTACATTTTGTCTATTTCCTTAATTTATTTTTTAAATAATAGAGAAATGAAACTCGAGTATCAAGCTCATGCTTGTTGATATCATCCCTTTCGAACAAGATCAAGTGATATGGCAGTTCCCAAAATTAAATATGAGTCTATATGCTTAAACTAAATACCTTTGGCACGGTGCCTGTTGGTAAATATTTGTTTCGAACATAATACTTCCTTTGTACCTAAATATTTATCGCCGTTGACTTTTTTAAACATGTTTGACCGTTTATCTTATTCAAAAACTTTTATAAAATATGTAAAACTATATGTATACATAAAATTATATTTAACAATGAATCAAATAATAGGAAAATAATTAATAACTACTTAAAGTTTTTGAATATAACGAATAGTCAAACATGTTTAAAAAAAATCAAACTCAACAAATATTTAGGGACGGAGAGAGAGTAATATAAACCAAACGAAAATTGACGTATATGCGGTGTGAAATATAACAATGGGGCATAGGACATGCGTCGTCATTTCAAACGAACTGTTCGAGGCAGACGTACGGTGGATGGCACTCGAGCTTTTGTCCGCGCATCAACGTTGATTGCTAAATTTTAGCAGCCCGATGTGGCGATGTCAACACCCAAAACTTGGCGTCTGCTTGCTCACCATCGCCACCGGAGCAAACGGGCACGCAGATTGGGCCAAAAAATTGCGCTGTTTGCTAGCTAGCAGGTTAGGCGGCGTGGGTCTTTCGCTGCTAGAGCTAGACGGCGGCATATGCAGGCCGGGCCAAGCAGTAGTGCAGTGCTGGGTCGGCTTTCGCCAAGAGCAAGCTAGCGCGGTGTGGTCGAGTGTCCTTGTCGCCCGCGTGTACAGCAGCGGATGGCGTGCGTGCGGACGTGTGGTTGTGTATGGATCGGCGGTTTGGGCTTTGGCGTGATGGATTTTAGTGTACTGTACTATAGAACTATCTCCAGTTATAAGACTTTTTAGCATTGTCTATATTCATATATACGTTAATGAATATAGATAGATATATATGTCTAGATCCATTAATATCTATATGAATATGGACAATACTAAAAAAAATCTTATAATATGAAAAGGAGGAAGTAGTACGTACGCAGCAGCAGCAGTCCAATGACACGCACGAGAGCCACGATCTCCTTGACTGTACATTAAAAATCTCTTAATTTGCTCTTGAAAAGAAATATACAGTATATCTTCTTGGCTTTATTTACACCGCGAAGGCTCCCAAATAGTCGCCGTCACAATCATTGGACTTTGGCTGTTGTTATTATATATTTTGGATTGCATCAAGGAAGATTAGGACACAGTTAGCTGATATCATGTGACTGTTGTTGATCAGGTAGCTCCAAAGACTTCATTATCACACTTCCACACTTGACTCTCATCCACCTTGAAAATCCCTTTCATTATCTCTTGGCTTTTCTTACACCACCACATCCACATGATGAAGACCCCGCTGCCGCTGGGCTGATTGCCAACCTCAGCACGGGCAGAGTCGCGTGGAACAACGTTGGGCCAGGCCGAGCCAAACTAACAGACGGGCCTCAACTTGGGCTACGCCGCTACACCCGCCCCAGCTCTCGGTCACCTGGACCGATTCGGGAATCCGCGTCCTACCAGGTTGCTGCCTGCTTGTGTGTGATCGTCGTCTTTGCGCTGGGCAGGGCCGAGTCGGTTTCGTTTCGCCGGCTACTTGTGTGGGGTTAGGCTGCCGGCCGCTGGTTTGATCTGGAAGAAATCATCCAGAGTTCCGGACACACCCAAGTCCCATCAATTGAGAGGCCGTCCCGTCTCCCGTATCATTTGGAGACCCTGAGTTGACGTGTACCCAGCGGACTTGGGTAATGCTCCATCCCGTCTCCCGTCCCGTGCAAATCGTGCGTCGTGCAACAACAACCATCAGCTATCGAATTAATCCCTCCGTCCCATAAAAAAATAATTTAGTACTAAATATAATACATCATAGTACTACGAATATAGACATATCTATATCCAAATGAATATGTCACATCCAGTTCTAGATTCGTTTGTTTCGGGACGCTCCGTCAAAAAAACTTAATTTATCACATCCCTCCTAAAGCAACGAGGGAATACTCCCCTTCTAGATTGATTCTTTTTTTGGACGGAGGGAATACTCCCTCCCCACCTGTCGCGCTTCATTTCAGGCCTCGGGTACGTTCTGCTGTGCTTCCACAGCCGGCCTGATCGCTCACCCAAATTCTGAGGTGTCGGTCGGTCACCTATATTCCACACCGATTTAAACAGTTAATCGTCGTGTATACTGTTCAAGGTTTTCAAACACGACGCAGAAATTCCAATATTCTGGGGCTGTTACCAGAATATATACCGAGCAAAAATGATATCCAAGTTTTTTTTTCTGATAACCATTTCCAGGGCGTTGAACTATTTACCACTCATATGTCATTAACATATGGACCTCATATGTCTACAACATTTAGTTTCATGTGACAAATAATTAATCGTCACATCTAAGAGTGATAAATAGTTAAATATCTCATATTTCCTAGGCTTGTGTACATGAAGTTGAACCTTTAACATCTAGTAGTTTGAGCAGTTTAATATGTGATATTACAAACATGTAATTTAAAATTTGACATATACTTTGTATGAAGTATATTCATGTAGTGTATAGTAGCACATATCGGTATATTTATAACTAAAGGTTACTATACTTTGTACTCATGGTAGTAATGATTATGAACGGTTACAGATAATAAAGAAATATGGACCCTCTTATAAAAAAAACAGTTGATAATTAAGAACTGGCATGGAGTATGAGCTTTATAGATTCAACTCACACTTTTAGGGCCTGTTTAGTTGGTGAAATAAAAATTTTTGGGTGTCACATCGGACATTTGACTGGATATCGGAAGGGGTTTTCGGACACGAATGAAAAAAAAACTAATTTCATAACTCGTCTGGAAACCGCGAGACGAATCTTTTGAGCCTAATTAATCAATCATTATCACATGTGGGTTACTGTAGCACTTATAGCTAATCATGGACTAATTAGGCTCAAAAGATTCGTCTCGCTATTTACATGCACACTGTGCAATTAGTTTTTCTTTTTATCTATATTTAATGCTCCATATATGTATTTAAAGATTCGATGTGATGTTTTTGAGAAAAGTTTTTAGGAACTAAACATGCCCTTAAAATGACCAGCGGCTCTTCTAGTGATAAATAATAGACCGACAGTTTGCTTTACGCAGAATCCCAAATGAGTGAAATAAGAGCTGCCCCAGCCAAATGTAACATGGCGTCATGGGGAAGTGGGATCCATATACAGTGTAACCTTGATTCATATACCATATTGCACTACTATGGAAATATGGAAATGTTTGGTAGATCTCCGATTCCTAAATTTATTTTTAGGATTTAAGTTTGAAGTGGAGTTGTGGAGCTGCCTAAACTTAGTTCCATCTTTCTAGTTTGCTTTGTGAGAACGCTTCATCCAACTACACTTCTATTTTAATGGAGCTAAAACTATTTAAAGCTTAAACTGGCCGGAATCGTGCTAAACATGCCTATATAAATGGAGTGCTCCACTATAAGTACTGAAGCACCCAAAACTAAGTGCTCCGTGCACTGTATGCATGCATTATGCATAGCAACGTGATGAAGCGAACGATATGATAATTAAAACCTTATCAAAATGCATGAATGTTGCAACAATAATTTTCTCACGGTAGTACAATTCCAGAACGGCTAAGTCAAATTATCGATCATCTTGTTTTCATGTTGCTTAAAAAGTCAGAAAGAACTTTAAATAAAAAATTGATAATATAGATCAATATATAATATATCACTCTATAAATTATTTTTTTACATGTCAATGTATTTTCTTTACCTTAATATCCCCCTCCCCACAGTGTAAAATAATTTTTTTAACTGACTAATAAAAGTGCTTATACCTTAAAAAATGATTTTATTTAAAGATAGTACTCTACGTTGGTCAATCTAACGTTGCCGTAATGATGCAATTTTTGAACATAAAAAAATGTTAAACATTATGCAGGACTGGCTTCAGTCTTGGTGTATGATGCTTTCACAGAAACAACATGATACTATATGCAATGATGCTACACGCTCGGCATTGATAGCCAATGAACTTTTATTTCTATTTGGATAGCATAGTGCCTATAAAATTTTGTAATAGAATCTATGTGATTTTGAAAATGTTATTTTGGTAGATTATTTTATTGACAGAAGTTGGGGGTTTGTCCCATCACGCCTTTTTTTAATTCCTTTTTTTTTACTTCCGATACTTTTTGATGTGTGCTTACGGGCAGAGATCGGATATGTTATCCATTTACATTATCTAAAAAAGGTAAATATATAAGTTCACATTCGATTTACACGACTGGTTAGGAGAAAAACAAATTTAATTGTAAATAGTATGCGCTAACTATTCACAGTTAATTAATTTTGTTAGTTTTTCTACGTCTGAACTTGCATACTTGTCCATCTATTATATTATTAAGACAGCTCGAAAAGAAGGCACCACGTTCTCTGTGGAGGCTAGAAATTCACACATTAATCGAAGAAAAAGAAAAGAATAGTCCACGTAGAAATACAATCTAAAAAATAACTGAAAATCGAAATTAGAAATAAGCAATATTGTAAGAGGAGTCCACATAAGAACCCAATACGAGATTAATTAAAACATTTGATTCAATTATAGATTTTAACTGTATAGATTTGTTGTAGAAAAGATAAGTCCATATATATGTACTGTGTACGTTACATACTAGGAGTCTTTCCTTTTCTGTTTCTTTGGCGGTGTACACAGTACACGTATAATCTAATTCAATTATAAACCTACACGGATAAGAGTTGTGCTGTCAAATAAACAAAGCTTACACTGCTGCACATATACAATTAATCGTCATTAAACAATTAACACACGATTAATTAGAAAAAGAAAAAAATCATTTAGGAATATAATTTATAAATAATTAAAATTAGTGATAAAAAAATAAAGACTATTAAAAGAAAACCATGTAAAACACATGACGAGATAAATTAAGTAACATGCCTATAAAGAAGTAGAGTGGTGGCGGTTGATACGACATATAAAAACCGTTAATAAAACACCAAATAGAATCTTAATAACGATTAAAAGGAGGGACGACAGGCATGCCGTGAAGCAAACGGGTAAGGCGGTTGCTGGGACTTCTAGAAAGACAAAAAAATAAACCCCATTGATAATCATAATCAATTTTTAAAATCTCAATGACAATAAAAAGAAGAAGTAGCGGGCAAAGTGTATAGGAGTATAGTTGCAGAGCCTCCGGGACTTCTAGAAAGACAAAAAATAAACCCCATTGATAATCATATTCAATTTTTAAAATCTCAATGACAATAAAAAGAAGAAGCAGCGGGCAAAGTGTATAGGAGTATAGTTGCAGAGCCTCCGACGGTTGGCGGAACTTCTAGAAAATAAAAAATAAATTTCAACGACAGTTATGTTCGATTTTTAGAATCCCAATGACAATAAAGAGTAGGTGGCGGATAGGCTCTAGAGTAGTATAGTGGCATCGTTTAACAGGACTTCTAAAAATTATAAAAAATGAAACTCAACAAGACAATAAAACTACAAGATCCAATTTTTAAAGGTTCAGAACTTCTAAAAAGTAAAAAAAACCAATGATAATCATGTTTGATTTTAAAATCTCAATGACAATAAAGAATGGAGGCAGTGGGCAAGCCATAAAGAAATATAATAGTAAAGCCGCTGACGGTTTGGCGGGACTTCTAGAAAGTAAAAAATTGAACCCGAACAATAATTATATTCGATTTTTAAAATCGCAATGACAATAAAGAGAAAACACAGTGGATGGGCCGTAGAGGAGTATAATGGCAGCGTTTGACGGAACTTATAGAAATTATAAAAACAAAACCTAACGAGACAATAAACTCTAAAAACTATAAGATCCATTTTTTAGAGGTTTCAAGGAGAATGAATAGAAATAATGGCAGATCGAGCAAGCAAATAAAGAAGGATATGACAGAAGTAAGGGGTAGCAGCTGGTGTGAATTTTAAAAACTATATAATTAGAAATACGGGAATGATAAGGTTTGGTCTTTCAAAGTCTTAAGACAATAAGATAGCTATTTAATAAATTTTAAGTAAATGTCATACGGAAAAATATATGATTTTGTTTGCGTGCTAGCCGCGCAATTGCGCGGGCCACCCAACTAGTTATTATATTATTACATATTTATCTATTTCGTCAATTTATTTCTTTTTGAAAAAAAAACGATGTTTTAGTCGATATACACGAAATGAGGGCACGTCGGGATAAAATAATCCCACCTCCTTCTAAGACGATTCAAGCAGAGGAGACCTAAGCACGTGAAGGTCATTTTACAAATCGATATCGTCTAAGGGCACATACATGATGGATACACTTTATCTTGCACATTATCCACCTACACGTATATAATTTCTAAGAACATGAAGCAAAAATGCAAAGCAACAAGCCGCATAAAACCGAAACAAACAGATAATCACTAACAGGGACACACCAACCTATACATAGCCAATATACGGCTATAAGCTATGCAAGCATGCATAGTGCATAGGAGAGGCCCGAGCATCTCTGAGGCACAGTTGCCTCAGTTCGTTTTCTAAATAAAAAAAAAAGGACACACACCATTAAAAGGAAAACACACTTGATGGCACTTACATACGTATACGAACTGATGAAATACTGATACGTGTCACCTACGTGTAGCTCTAGTCCTGGTACCATAAATGATGTGGTATACGATGACGATCATTAGGTCATTGTAAGTTTAGCTGACGACGTACGTTGCTGCGGCCATTGACGAGGACGTCACGAACGGAACCAGCCATGGCTGATGGCTAATGACTCATGAGCTAGCTAGCAGCTAGCCATGGTGGCCCTCCTCTTGACCGTGACAGCGAGCCCATTCTTCATGTGCAGGATGATGGACAGCTTCGGCTCGACGGCGTGCCCCGGCACCACCTCCACGGCGAAGTTCCACATCACGGCCGCCGCCACGGTCTTGAGCTGCACGAACGCCAGCTCCTTGCCGAGGCACGTCCTCGGGCCGGCGTTGAAGGAGAAGAACTTGTACGACGGCTCGTACCGCAGCTTCCCTTCGCTGGTGATCCACCTCTCCGGCAGGAACTCCGTGCAGTCCTTGCCCCACACGCCTTCCATCCTGCCCATGGAGTAGGAGAACACGAGTACCTTGTCTCCGGCCTTCATCTCGTGCCCGCTCGGGAGCACGTCGTCGGCGGCCACCGCCTTGTGCTCGAACGGCACCGACGGGTACAGCCTCAGGCACTCGGACAGCGCCGCTTGCAGGTACACCAGGTTCTTGAGCTCGCTGGCGTCGAATATCACCATGCCGCCGCCGTCGCCGCCCTTCTGGGCAGCGATGGGCGCCAGCTCTTCCAGGAGCTTCTGCTCGACGCGCGGGTTCTTGGAGAGGATGTAGAAGAACCACGACAGCGCCGCGCCGGTCGTGTCGCGGCCGGCGAGCAGGAGGTTCACCGTCGTGTCACGTAGGAACTCATCAGTCTCGTCGACGACGTCGTTGCCGTTGCTCGTGTCATCGTCGTCGTGGCTGATGAACGATGACAGCAAGTCGTCCGAGTTACTGGTGCCTTGTCGGATCATGTCGGCCCTGCGCTTCGCGATGGTCTCGGCGACGAACCTGTCGATCGTCCTCCTTGCGACGGCCATCTTCCTCTCCGTCCCGACCTCCAACCGGTACATCAGCTTCCAGCACGACATCGGGATGATGTGCCGGAGGAAGAGCGTTTCCAGCACGTCGTCCATGGCACGTGCGAAGGGGATCACCGGCAGGCCGGCCGACAGGCAGCCGGTGTCCACGCCGAAGACGAGGGTGCAGGTCACGTCGAAGGTCAGCCTCAAGAACAGGTCGTGCAGGTCGCAGCGCGCTCCCGTGTCGGCCGCGTGCGCGAGCAACGGCAGGAGGCTCTTCTCCGCCTTGTCGCGGCTGCTCCGCGCGGCGAAGGCGCGGAACCGTGCGCCGGCCATGAGCATCTGGGCCTTCGCCCTCTGGCTGCGCCACGACTCGCCGTCGGCGTTGAAGATGCCGTTGCCAAGGACGTCGAAGATCTCGGCGTACTCGTCACCCTTGGGGTAGTTTGCGAAGTTGGACGTGAAGATGTGGCGCACGTTGGACGGGTCGCAGGTGATGAAGAACCGTATGCCGGTGAGCCCCGCGCGAGCCTCGAAGTTGTGCCACCCGCCGGCGAGGATGTCGGTGGCCCAGTCGTGGAAGCGGTGGATGTTGGCGAACATGCCGAAGAGATGACCCAGCACGGGCCATTCGGTCGGCTCCGAAGCACTTGCTTTCTTGGTTTGAAGGTGGTAGTAGTAGATGATGCAGCAACAAAGGATGGAGAAGATCTCCACGAAACAGAGAAGCATATCCATGGCTCAGAAAAGAAGTGAGCAGATTACGAGTGCAATATGGGCTGCTTGACTGCTTCCTTTGTAGTTTTATAGTCGGCATGACTGCATTGAGATATATTATTTGTATACAATAGTAAGTGAGGTGTCACGATCTCATCTCAGCTTACAGAATGGTGACTGGGATAACTTTTTCTATGTTATTAAAAAAAATCTGTCGACATTTCTTCGTCTTTCTTTTTCCTGAGAGGACTGTGTTATTGTCTTCTTTTTCTTCTCTCCAGAAAGTTCCGTACTGTGAAAATGAGACACTTTCCGTACTGTGAAAATGAGACTTTACCTTGTCTAAACTGATTGGATGGGCGATCCATCTATTTTCTATCATGTGTGGTAAGGAACTTGTATTAAACTTTTCGGGATAAAGAAATTGTTTGATCCATACTTTGTTTTTTGAAACCGATTGTTTGATCCATACTTAAAGCAATGAACTTCCAAATGATTTCAACAGTTACATCTTTTTTTTAAAAAAAGATCTATTGCTTCAAAAATGTGTAAGATTAAATTCGATCAACATATTAGGAAAAAAAAAGGTTGCACCTATAGCCATCAGCTAAAACCTATGTGAAACACTGCCGATCTATGCAACGAGTAGGGCCCCTTTGAAATGGATAAATTTTACAGAAATTTTGAGGAAATGAACTAATTCGTGTGAAAGTCCGGTAAAATTAATTCTTGTGTTGCCAAGGGCCCTAGCATTTACAAGAGATTTCTTTTTGAAACTTTTAGTCCACAAATCTAAAAAAGAAAACCGTTAGTAACATGTTTATAGAGTTAGACCATTCGATCACACTATCGACATTGGCACGGCAAATATAACACTATCGGAGCGGTTTGACACTGAAAAGGGGTTTGGCTATTTGGCTATTTCTCTGCAGTCTCAACGAAGAGAGAAACTCCCGCAAGGCTGTGCACTACTGCACTATCATCAGTGCCTCAAGACCCCAGGACCACAGTGTGTTATCACTGTCATACGTGGACTGGTAGGAAAATAGAAGTGAATTGTGAGAAAGAAGTACTATTTGGAGGGAAACTATTTTGATCTTTTGAGAGGATATCCCCTCGTTGTTTGCATGTCACTCAAATGGTTATGAAAAAAATTAGAAGATGTATTAACTCCATAAACAAGTTCAAATTCAACTTATACATCTCGCAATGAAAAAACAAATTTGACTGTTAATATACGTTAACTAGCTGTAGTTTAATTGTTTTTTTCGTTGTGGATGTATAAATTAAATTTGAACCTGCATGTTTGTGGAGTGATATATCACATGTTAATACATCTTTTTAATTTTTTTTTAATTTTTTTATAACTATGTAAGTGACATGCAAATAGCGAGAGAATATCTCCTCGAGAGACCAAAATCTAGTCTATCAACTACCATCACATGATCGATATAAACTCGGTGCGTTCTGAATCTTTGATGATTGAAGCAATCCAAGATAATACCGAAAAGCTAATGATGATGACGACGATTGGGAGGGTTCATACTGTAAATAAAGCCAAGAGTTATTTTTGGAATGGCAAGGGATGTTCAAGAGATGGACTCATCAAGGAGCCTGTAGCTATCGTGTGTTCTTGTTGGACTAAAATCCGCCGTGCCAAAGCCCAAAACACCGGTCCATATACGAGCAAACACACACCACCCGTGGGAGACAAGGACACTCGACCATACCGTGCTTATATAACCATTGCTAGCTCATGGCGAAGCCGAGCGCCCAGTGCGTCGTGGCCCGGCCTGCATGCCGTCTAGCGGCGAAAGATCCACACCGCCTAACCTTGCTACTAACCAACAATGCAATATTTTGGCCCAACCTTGCATAATGCATAGTGCTCGTTTGCCCCGGCGGCGGCCGAGAGCGGCCACGCATACGCCTCGGTGGCCAAACCGCGACTCTCGCGCGCGCCCACGCGGCCACTTGATGCGTACAAGTACAAATAACGTGCATGCGAATAGGCGATCACTAACGAAAATGCTACTGAGCGAGCGATCGCGGGGTTTTAACTATTTGCCACTGTTACGAGTGTTGCTTAATAATTTACCACTATGTCCACATGTTATAGACACATAAAGGCCCACATGTCATAGACTGGGTGTGGCAAATCATTAATTGCCATGTCACAAGAGTGGCAACGATCGCGCTCGCCCGCCCATAGCGATTGGGTAGCCCGCCCCCCCTCCTCTCCCTCCCTCCATCTGGTTTCCTTTTTTGGCACCGCATTACTTTCCTATTTTAGTAAATTTATACACCAAAAGTTTATACACCTCAAGTTTACACATCTAAAGTTTAGAGACCAAAAGTTTATAAGTCAAACGTTTATATATCTGATTCAAATTTGAATTTGAATTCAAATATTTTTTTATATATATTATTTCTATACATCCAAAGTTTATACACCTAAAGTTTATATATCCGATTCAAATTTGAATTTGAATTCAAATATTTTCTATATATAGTATTGTCGGAGAATGAACTCCTCCACCAGGGAACCGTGAGGCCCCCCTTTGTGAGTTCGGCCGGGGACAGCGGGTGAGATTCGAGGATTCGGTGAGCGAAGCTGTGTGATCTTGAGGGGGTTCAATCCCCCAAAGACGATGAGACAAAAAGGGTTTATACAGGTTCGGGCCACTAAGAAGCGTACTACCCTACTCCTGTGTTTGGGATTATGGTCGAGTGTAGAACACAAGTGCCTGGGGTTGCGAGACTAAAGCGCCAGTTCGCTCGGAAGTCCCCCCCTCCACCACTAGGCCTGAACCTCCTTTTATACCTCAAGAGGTTACCACATGGGCCCAACAACCTAACCTAACTCTGGTGGAGAAGTATTATAATCTTTGCATTAAATGCATGTCTTGTCTCTTGACTTGGGAAGCCAAGCGCACGTCGTCTTGATTATGGGGCCTGTCAAATCTTGCCGCCTGATACGGGGGGTGCCCCTGTCAGTCACCATTTAATGGGTGAAGACTTCTGGGCTCCTATTACACCGGGAAACGGGAGCCTTGCTTTGACCAGAGCGGGAGGACCGACTCCGGCTGGGATAAGAGGATGAGAACCTCTCACCATCATTATTTGAGGGGATATGTCGGGCTGCACGTCGCCTGACACTCGCGATGGTGCGCCTGACATCCTGGGTCCCATCAGTCATTCGACTGGTCACAGACCGGTTGAGTGCACTGCACACCGCATTAAATGCGGCGTGGCGCGACCGCTCGGGTCGCCATTAATGCGGGTAGGTGGGCACCTGGAGGCGAACACCTAACCCACTGTACGTGGTGACCTAGAGAGGGGGTCGGGGGAGTCCGACCCCTAGTCACGGGAGGGGGCGGTCGCCGCCCGACCTCGGGCCCGATCCCCCCTCAGGGGAGGGCCACGTGGCGCCTGGGGCAGCCTTCTCCGTTTAGTCTCAGCCAGGGAGTGGCCACCACCCTACCTCGGGCCCGATCCCCCTCGGGGGAGGGCCACGTGGCATTGGGGGGCAGCCTCCTCCGTCCAATCTCTGGGAGGGAGTGGCCGCCACCCCACCTCGGGCCTAACTCTCCTCCGGGGAGGGCCACGTGTCATTGGGGGGCAGCCTCCTCCGACTAGTCTATGTAGGAGTGGCCGCCACCCCACCTCGGGCCTGACTCCCCTCGGGGGAGGGCCACGTGGCATTGGGGGGCAGCCTCCTCCAACTAGTCTTTGGGAAGGAGTGGCCGCCACCCCACCTCGGGCCTCACTCCCCTCGGGGGAGGGCCACGTGGCCTTGGGGGGCAGCCTCCTCCCTTTAAACATGATACCCCCGGGCCCATATCACCGACAGTAGCCCCCGGCGTTAGCCCTGACCAAAACCTTTCTTATGTGGTCAGGGTTGACGCCAATCTTCTAGTCAGTTGACATGTGGGCCCGACCTTCTATCCTATCATTCTGGGAGTTGGGCGGTGGGAGTTTAGTCACGTTCATACGTTGCCTTAACTTCTCACTTTCCTCCCGGTTTCCGAAGCGCTGTGGGCTCAGGAGTTTAGCACGTGCCTTAGGCCGTGAACTTATTTCCTGTATATACTCAGCAAACGTTGTTAGATTCTCTCGGGCTCGTGACCTTACGCCACGTACCTCGCTTGCCCCTGCCTTTTGTTAACCTCTGTTGGTGTTCTACTTCATCTATTCAAACGATTATTTTCTCGTGAGTGTGAGGACTGAACTTCCCATAGCCAGCAATCTTTACCCGTGATCAAGCCAGGCTGGGCGCCGTAACCAGCCGGCGGGGCCAAAGCTAGCAGCTACGGAAGAGCCAGCATAGGGGGCCCCGGGTGTCGACGGCGAGCAGAGCTCGACGCAGGGCTAGGATAGAGCTAGGAATCGTAGCCCCCACACTTTTAGCAAAGAATCATTTGAATAGATGAAGCGAATACAAACTTTTCGTTACCAAGGGAGGCAAGCCAGCGCGCGACACGTGGGTACCGCGGGACCGCGAGGAAGAGATGGGCGAGAGATAAATATAAGCAAAAATAATTCTATGCAAACAATTATCTTCGCGCGAGTGTGAGGACTGAACTTTCTATAGCCAACAATCTTCGCCTGCGATCAAGCGAAGCTAGGCCCTGTAGCCAGCCGACGGGGCCAAAGCAAGCCGCTACGGAAGAGCCAGTACAGGGGGCCCCGGACGTCGACGGCGCCCAGAGCTCGACGCAGGGCTAGGATGGAGCTAGGAATCGTAGCCCCACACTTATAGCAAAGAATTGCTTGTATGAATGAAGCAAACACAAACCTTGCTTGCATGTCGCGACCTTTCAAACCTTTAGCTCGAAGAGGGCCTCTCACCATGGGTTCCGAACCATCTTGGGAAGCCTGTGATCACTTAGCAAACGAGATCAGGTTCCCACGAGCCTGTGTCCCCACGCTACACATTATGTTTGCTCTTTCCTTTCGGTAGCCTCCTTCCAATATCTCTCCCTTCTACACGGACGACTACTTCTGCACGAGTGTGAGAGCCGGAAAACTCTAGAGCCAGCGATCCCCGTCCATAGTTGAGCCAGGCTGAGCACCGT